ACTTGTTTTTGATAACTTTGAAAATTCGAATATATCTCAAAAATACCTCTGTTTTCTGACAAACGGGGCTCTGATACCAATTATTGGTGAGAGAAACCACTTGTGATAGCTTTGAAATACTCCGAGGGGATAGAACACACTCTTTATTTCAAGAACAAAACTTACAATAACATAAACATAAGCTTACAACAACCCCTCTCTTTCTCTCTTTCTCTCTAGTGTTTCTCTCAATCTCTCCACACATAATTGCATAAGCTTAACTGTCTATTTATACATGAATTCAAAACAAGAAAATTTAACCTTCAAGTGTGAAGACGGTTGTGGCCGACGGTGTGAAAACAGCTGGCGGCTGGATGATTGGGTGATGATAACTAGTGGTTTGTCTTTCTTAACCTTTTCTAGATTGAGTTTACTTCAAACATATTCTTTTGAGGGTAGTATGGACTCTATTGATGTCATCTATTGTAATCGCCCACTCCAATTGAAGAGATAGTGAGGGCAATGAATCACGTGATTGATAAAGGGTGGGCATTTTACTAGGGGACCAGTGAATGGTGAGCTCAACAAATCACTGAAGCTTGGCGCATTGGGGAGAAGTCGGACTTCGTGGGACCAATTGGGGGTGGCGTACGGTACCCACCCGGTGTCATTATTTCTGCACTTTCAGAATTTTTGAGCATTGTTCCTTGGTTTTCAACAATTTTTCTACATTAATTTATGAATTTCAGATGGTTTATTTTATAAATTATAAATGTTTAATGTGTGCGTGTTTGAATTAGAATTAGAATTTTTAATGTTTTATGAGCATGTGTATTTTTAGTGCTTTACGGTAAAGATAGCAGAATTTCTAATAAATGAAGAGAGAAGGATCAATTATACTCTTTTGTTAATGAATTCCTTCACATTGTTACATAACTTTATATCAATTTATAGTTGGAAACATAAAAATAAAGCAGAATTACATATAAATGAAGAGAGAAGGATCAATTATACTCTTTTGTTAATGAATTCTTTCACATTGTTACATAACTTTATATCAATTTATAGTTGGAACACGTGAACAAGCTTCTAGCCTTAATGCTAACAAACTTTCTTAACTGTATAACAATACTAACCACTTGACCCTTGAATCTCTTGACATGTGGCAAAACTAGGTCGTTTGGTATCTTTACACCTTTGCACTCTTCAGTGTGGTTAAAGGATGCTCCCCCAAGATTCAATTGTTTCTTTGGCTGCTTGTTCAAGATAAAGTATGCATGCACTCATGATTTCTTGTTTCAGCGTGATTTGCTTTAACTTCATGCAACTTTTCTTTACT